CCCCAAAACCCCAAAACCCCAAAACCCCAAAACCCCAAAGGAGATAATGCAGAATTAATAATTTTCATAAATATGAACTCTATCAGCAGAGAAGCTAGTCTCCAAGAAGACAGAGAATTAGCCAAGCCATTTAGCAACAAAATGGTGCCCAATTACGATGAGATGTTTGAAGAGAACCTTTCAGAGGAATTCCTCAGTGAAAAAGTGATCCCTTCCAGCATAAAGACTTCACTAGGTCTCATCAAGAATATGTCTCATACTCCATTTAAAAGTTCGATGAATCAAACTAGTTTAATTCCTAGTCCTGAAGGGAAGAAATTGTGAAAGAAGGAAAATAAATTTTTCGAAAAAGACCTGAGGAATGATGTAGAAGTTTCAGATGGGGCTTTTAAGGCTATCAGTGAACCTAAATGTCTCAACAAAGGTCGTAAATTTATCTCTCAACATTATGATACAAAATCCTTACTAACAAACTGCGAATCAGCCCTCATGAAGGATATCCACCTGCTGCTTAAATAAGGCAGTGAAGATCAGATTGGAATCAAACAGAAAAGTCTCTGAGGGGAAAGATGGATCAGACCACGTTTACGAGCCTAAAGAGGGTCTGAAGAATGAGAAGACGCCAAGAAGAGCACAGTCAGTGACGATGAGAGATATCGCTCAACCTAATCAATAGCTTACCTAATTTATAATAAGACCTTAACCCAATTGTCGGCTCAGCATTTGCTAAAAAGTTTGTAAAATCCCATACTTCTAAAAGTTCATAAGGTTTATTATATAAAATTCATGAGAGAATAACCAAAACGTGGAGTACCACAAGGAAAGATGCTGGGAATTTAGAGACTAAGAGAGACATCACAAAGACTTTTAGAGGCCACATAACAAAATGTACCCCTTGCTTCATTAGTTTATTCATTCATAAGTACTTCTACAAATACAGTCCTGGCGATGATCAGAGTACCCTTGGGTGTTCAAGACAAACATAAAGTTTAGAAAAAATGTTATGAAGTAATTAGATGAGTCTCTAATAGTTTTTATGAATCATATTGTTAGCTAGATTGATCCGGACACTTTTAAAACACTCTGAATCTAATTCATCGGCAGAAAAATAACACGCAATTTCTGGTGAATGAATTATAGAGATAGAGGAGATGCATTTATTATGCAAAACCACTCGTATCTTCTTATGGATAAAAAGATTAAGACTGTATCATTTCATCCTATTATCTCTAAATCTCCCCTAACCCCACCCAATTCCCCCAAAAATACTAAATTCCCCCCTAATCCACCTCCTCCCCCTCCAAAACCTCTTCAAACCCCTCTAAAATCCCCAAAACCCCAAAGCCCCACTCAAATCCCCAAACCCATTACCAACCCTGAACTTATTCCCTATCCCACCCCCTTAACCCCTAACAAAACCCCATTAAAACACCCAAATAAAACACTCATAAAAACCAGGCTCTCTCAGTATAAAAACTTTATGCATAAAAAATTGTTATGCACAGATATATGAATAGTTGGGGTTTTAATAGGCCTTTGAAGGTGAAGAAGAGTGAGAGGAGACAGGTGAGAGTATCATTATAGTGTGATTGATTGTGAATAATTAGTCTCGTATTTATTTTACGTGTATTTATAAAGATATAAATTCGCATTCGCTATTATCTGTTATCTGTTACAACTCAGATTTCTTCATTAAATCCTCGCTCTTCGTAAAATTTTAAACCGGAAAAGACAGATGTTGAGCTGCCAAAAACTTATTCAGGCAAAAAGAGACTCTAAATTGTCAGCTTTGTATTGGACCAGTTGCAATATTGCGAATGTGGGTGATGAAAGGAGGGAAGTAGCTTTGGAAGTGAGCAAGGGGTGGTAAGTGTGGTGGGGTTGGTGGTCTTTGTAATGTGGGGGATGCACTCTGGATAGCAGAAAATTTTAGGTAGGATTGAGAGTTTTGAAGGTTTGTAAAGTTTGGAAGGATTGTTGTACTTGGACTCAGACCTAAGTTCGAGCAGATGGGGTGCTTTGGGATGTAGCATATTCAATTTTTGTTTCAAAAGTTTGAAAAATAAATAGACTATTATACCTCCACTCCTCCTAAAAATCCAGAATAATTCTAAACCAAAATCCATAAATAATTTCTTAATGAATTTAAACTTGTCCGAGGCTAGGCTTCAGAATTACCGTAGGCTGTAGGAGTATTGGGGTCTTGGGATCTGAGCTTGGAAGAAATTAGGGAATTTGGAGGTTTGGAGGAAGGGTAGGACTGGGGTAAGGAGAGGTTGGAGGGGTATTGGGAGGATGGAGGAGGTAGGGGTGGTGAGAGTTGATGTGGTTGGGATAGATGTGGGGGGTTAGAGAGGAATGATAGGATTTAAGACATTTTTGGAATTCAATAATGTTTTTTGATGAAGGGGTTTTGGGGTTTTGGGGTTTTGGGGTTTTGGGG